AAAAAAAAAAAAAAAAAAAAAAAGTGTTCTTTTTCAGTTGAGAGAATGATTAGGGTAACTAGCCTGCTATATGACTACCCTGGGAATTCATTCATTCATTCAGGATGATAGCTTTAAGATGAAAATAAAGCATCTGTCATTATACAATTACAATAGTGATACCTTAACTATTCTGCGAAATAATTGTTTTATGTATTTCATCAATTTAAAGGACTACCTTAGCCTTTTTCTTGCCTTCCTAAGTTCTAGCTTGGATATTAAAGTCATTGATGGAAATGGAAAATCTTGAGACAAGAAATTTCAATTATTTTTTTGAGTAGAAAAATTATGAAGGCAGTCCCAAGCCTTTATTCTCAAATAATCTCTTGGGTTTTCATAACTGATTTTAACATTTGGGGTCAATTACCATTTTCTGAGACAGAAGAGATGGTCAGTACTATCACAATTTTTGTTTATATTAATTCTCTCATATTTAAAAGTCTTTTGGTTTATTGTTTGTAGTAAGTCAGCCTGCATGCTGTCCATTATAAAATTGCCACATCCCTCAGAGCACCTTTCTTAAATGGAACAATTAGCAGGACCTGGCTTAATAAATAATTCTACTTAATGTCAGTCATACTAAGAAGGTTTATTCTATCACATATTAGTCAAATGAATAGAATATCAAACTATGCAACCACAAATTAAAATGATGAGGCAGCATAACTGTGAAATGTGAGGTATCAAGAGAGACAGATAAATCTGGGTTGTTGCAATTAGACATATGGAAAGGTTTTTGTGTGCTGGCTTGCTTGTTTGATTGGCTAGGTATAGAATTCCAGATTTGATTATTTTAAACATGCATAAGAAAAACAATGGGTCTTAGGCTATATTTACATGGAGTGGAAAACACAGTAGCCCAGAAGTAAGTACAAATATTGTATTTCTGAATGGTCAATATGTTTACTTTGAGACACACTGCATAGTTAAACTAGGCAGTGAAAGTAGATAAAATTTGTAGCACTCTTTGCTGACTCATGGCACGCTATTTCCATAAGTAGATACATTAGTTAAAGAGACATCTGTGAATAGCAATAGGTTCTGCATTTATGATTAGATTAGGTTAAATCATTTTGTTATTTGCTTTTCCTCTTTTAGTATATTAATCAAGCTTATAATAATGTATTACCACTTTTCCCATTGACTGTAAAATCTATTAGGGGAGAGCAATTGGCTATTCTCTCTGCAGCTCATTGCCTGTCAGATTGCTGTGTTTTGAGTATATATTTATATATATATATGTGTTTGTGTGTGTGTGTGTATTACATATACACAGAAATATGCATCCATATGTTTATTTACATTTTAAAATTCATTGGTTACAGCTGAAAATTGAAGAACAGCTTTTGTAGACTATAGGCAGAGAAAGTACTCTTCATCAAGCACTGTTTTTTTTTTTTTTTTTTTACTGAATGCTACCCCCTCCCCAACACACACACTTAAAAACAATGAGTATAATTGTCATTCAGTTCAGAAAACAAGACAAAACACTCAGTTCTGATTTTTCAGTGCTAGAAATGAATTTGCACTGGCATAGGAAGATCCTCAGCTTTGCCAGTAGGGACTTGCAGTTTCAAATGAGCAAAGCAGAAGGTAACTCAAAGCACAAACTATTTTCCATTTCAAATCCTTAGCTCTCTCACCATAGAATAAAACATTCAAAAAACATACATCTGGCAGCAAAGTAAATGCCATTTGGTTGATGATAGAATGTCCTTATTAGGGAAAAATTCTAAAGGCAATTGGTCTAGTCTGAAGTAAACTTTTAAAGAAATTAACAGACCTGTTCATCTTCGCCATCATTCCGGGAATTTTCATATTTTCTCTCCTATGAGGATTCATTTCTTGGACCTCCTGTCTTTCTCTTTCCTGGTTTATTCCTCTGCTTTGGTGGTGCATACCCTCTGGTAGCTTTTTGAAAAAGGGCACATGAGAGTTTAATTTTTTGAGTTCTTACCTGTCTGAAAATAACTTTATACAACTGTCACACTTGATTTCCTATGTATAGAATTCAAGGTTGGAAATAATTTTTCTTCAGAATTTTGAAAGCAACGTCTTCTAGCTTCCAGTGTTGTTTTAAAAACTGCAGTGCTATTCTAAATTCGAATTTTTTTGTAAGTGCACTTGATTCTCTCTTTGAAGCTTGAGAAATCACCTTTTTATCCCATGTTCTGAAGTTGTGCTATAACATGCTTTGATAAAGGTCTCATATATTGTGCTGAGCACTTGTTGGATACTTATCAGTCTGGAAATGTGTTCTTCAGTTGTGGAAAATTTTGGAGGAGTATTTGTTTGATCATTTTTTTCTCCTCTGTTTTCTTTTTTCTTTCTTTCTGAATCTCCTAATTTTTATATAGTAGGCTTTTGGCATAGAATGTCTTTCTTTTTATGGAGTAAAAATAATTTTTATCTGAGTCTCCTATAATCCTATCACTTAGTGAGAAACCCTTTTAATATTTTGCTATGAAAATTATAGTGTGTGTGTGTCTGTATAGTCATAGCATGCATACTATTTTGAAATTCAATAACAATGTATCTTGAACATTTTCAAAGTCTCTATTTTTAAGATGACTGTACAATATTTCCATTTTATGAATATATTATTTAATTATTCCTTTATTGAAGGTTATTTAAAATTTTTATATTTTATTTTATGTAAAAATCTGCAGTGAAAAGTTCTTGTATATACATCTGTGTATACTTGTGTGATTGTAACTGTAGGATAATATTCTGGAATTGCTATAATGAGGTCAGTGAATAAAGTACTAGATTTTAAGTTTATAGCATACATTTTATAATAATTTAATAGTCACTTTGCTGCTTGAATTGCTATTTAGTATGTCATCAGAATTGCTTTTTTCCTGTAATTAGGATTGTACTTATTCCTGACTTCTTACTGCACAACAAGCAGTTGCAATAGTTATAATTTTAATTGGTTATGAATCAACTTAAGATCCAGGAGAATATTTATAAATAAAGAGAAAGACCAAATAAGCCATGACATGACTAACTCATTGTCCTAATGGCATAAACTTTACTAACAAACATGCAAATTATACATATCCTATTCAGATACTTAATTGGACCAGAAATAAAACACAGATTTGTCAAGTTAATGGGAATAATGATTGTCTGTTTCCCAGATTACTCCCAAGAAAAGGATGTGTCAGAAGTTGTGAATAATTGCTGTGCCGATGTGTAGAAAGTTTGCTTTTCTTAGGGTGTTAAGACAGCATTCACAGAACCAAGGTTGTTCCTGACTTCAGGAAATCCTAGTCTGTCTCAGGTACTTTTGGATAGATGACATTCTATACTCATATGCCAGGAACTCTAGTCCCTGTTAGTCTATTTTATCATTTCTAAAATATGTGTAGATTACTAAAGTACTTTTATGTATTATTTGAAAAATAACTAATGATCATGATTGTCCAATATGCTGAAAGCATAAAGGGCTATATAGAAACAAATTTCTGCTAAATTAAACCTTATTCTCTTTAGAATGTATGAAATAAATCAACTATTTATTTATGTAATTTCATTTGGCACATAGTTTATTGTAGCTTTCAACAAATATCAAACACTAATTGTCATTGTTATACATGTATTGTGGTGTTCAGAAACATGTTTGTGAATAAGCTTAAGAAATTAAACATTCAAAGTCCTATTTAATTTCACTTGAATTATAAAATATAGCAAACTTTAGAAGTGGATAATAAGAGGTAGTGACTGAAAACGTACACAGATAGCACAAAACGTATTAATTACAATCATAGTGGATGATTAGGGCAAATTAGGATCAACTGGGAATATGTTTCTTATATTTTGAGAATAATGACCTAAAAATACCCAAATGTTCCATCTTACCTGTCCCAGAGAGAAAGTGCACAGTTTTCTGGACCTTGATACTAAGTCCTTTGGCTATTTCTTTGCCTAATCATTTTCTTCATTTGGAATAACTGACCCATGTCATGTTTATTCCATGAGTATTCCATACTCTTGATGAAAAATAAAAAGTCTTCCCTTTACTTGTTCCTGACGTTTGCTTTTTTTTCCTGACTCTCTCTAGAGCTCAGAGACCGAAGTTCAGGCTCCTCTCTGCTATTGACTTGCTCTACTGGTCACTTTCACTCTCTAGGCTTTATTGTCCTTATCTATTTAATAAGATATTTAAAGAAATTATCACTATGGTCTCTTCCAGTTTTATATTTTGAGATTATAAAAAGGTAAATCCCTCCATAACCCTTCAGTGGCTTTCTACTATGTTAACAATAAAATCAAACTTTTCTTCCATGGTGTATAAGGCTTTATATAATCGGCTCTGCCTGTATCTCCTACTTCCATTTCATGCCACAACACTACAAGCTAGCCACATGAGTTTCCTGTTCTTTTAGGGATCAGCTAAAATACTACCTTCTCAGAAAGGCTTTCCTTGACTCCTTTATTAAGCCATCTTTTAAATTTCTCTCAAACTCTTCATCACAACTAGTTATTATCTTTGTTTGTTTCTTCTCATGCCAGATTAGGATGTTAGCTCCGTAGTGATGGCACCTGGTTTATCTTATTACTGTATTTCAGTGCCAGCACACTACCTGGCACATAAAACATATTAAAAAATACTTGCTAAATGTTTGTTGTTAGAGACTGATACATATAGAAATGATATCTGAACTAAAAAGAAGGGGCAAAGGGCCCCTGTCATGTATTGTAGTGTTTACAATTGTCAATAAAACCATGTAGTCTACTCATAACAACCATATAGCCAAACAGTCAATCTAAATTGACATCCTAGGCAACTCTGATATAAACCAAAGAAGAAATTGGAACATTTGATGGCTTTTTCTTGGGAAGATAGTCCTGTTGAGAGGCTTGAGATGTCTTGGTGTGTTTATAGGGCCCCATTGTTCTATAACCAGTGCTTTCTTCTTTTATCTCTTCTCAGATTAGACTCCAGAGAAATGATGTTAGGAAATCGAAACTGAAATGGACCCCAGAGCAATTGAAGAAAGAAAGAGTCAAGGTGAGGCTTGGATATCAAATAATTTATTACTGAGCTTTCTGTTTTTGTTGTTGTTGTTGTTACAATAGTCCTAGTGTATAAGGACTAGAAAAAGGTTTTAGAAAAAAACCAGAATTTATGATTTAGTCAAGTGTCTAAATGTTTTAGCCCAAACACTAGGAGTAAAGAAGTGAATAACTTTTTTCAAAAGTAATAAAACCAAACACACACATATACACACACACACACACACAGTCAAACCTATTATTATAGACTATCTTTAGATAAATAGATTTTCTCCCAAAAGTGTACCCATAACATTTACAGTATACAACTAAAATAAGTCCACAATACTTTGTCTATTGAAATAAGAACTAAATGAGCACTGGAGATGACTGGATTGATCTCAGAGAAAAGGTATTTTTCCTTTTCCCTAGATATCCAACAGGAAATATTTCATTTTAATATTGACTTTGTCACTATCCACATTTATATGGATAAATATGATTGTTATGAAATTCATATCATAGTTCTTTTTCCTACGTTGAACAAAGTAACCTTTCTCATTCGCATTCACCTGCTATCTTCCATGTGTCACAGAGAAATCTACTGCCATGTGAGAAATGAACCATTTATCCAAAGAAAATGCAGCCTGCTAAGACCCATTCTTCTTTAACTTAGACTCATCTTAGCATAGAAGTTGTAAATGACTAAGAACTGTAATGACTAAGGTGAGATTGTTTACTCAGGCAACATATGCAGATGCATCTTATTTATACTTCTTTCTGTAAATAACAGTCATGTTAATCAAAGAATACCACAAAATTTGAATTGCTTTGTGTTATGCCTGAGGCGGACATCATACTTATCACATGCTTATCCACAGAGTGGGGAACCATGGTATGATACCAGTTGGAAGACAGAGGTGCCACCATTGGAAACCCTTAAATTGCAAGGAGGAAACAATTGCCTGAAAAGAAACTCTAGATGAGCCCTATAACTAAAGCAGTTTGAGGGTATAAGGTATATACAAATATGAGCTGGGTGGCACACACCTGTCATCACAGCTACTCAGGAGGCTGAGGCAGGAGGATTGTATGAGCTCAGGAGTTAGAGCTGCAGTGAGCTATGATTGTGCCACTGCACTCTGGCCTGGGCCCCCTCAGCTCTAAAAAACAAATATATAAATGAAAGAAAAAAAGGAAGAAAGAGAGAAAGAGAAAAAAGAAAGGTAGGAAGGAAGAAAGGAAGGAAAGAAGGAAGGAAGAAAGGAAGGAAAGAAGGAAGGAAGGAAAGGAAAGAAGGAAGATATATACAAATATGAAACAGCTGCACAATTATTTTAAGATTTTAAGGTTCTTTCATATTCATTCTCTCATTTCAATCTCATTAGCTGGGGAGTTAACAGGGCAGTCATATGATTTTTTGTTTTTTTTGGTGATGTAACAAATGTATTGCTCTTAATAGACAATTAGTGGTTAGGAAAAGGAGGGCTCACTTCACTTTGGCATTTACTGATATGCTTACATTATAACATAAAGAGATCTCTGCTGATTTATTTTCTATATGTCTGAGTAGAAGGATGACGACCATGAGCAAATAAATTTTCACTCTGCTCTTCTGGTATTTTAACTGACTACACATAATATTAGAAATTTTGTGTTGGCTATATAAAATACTTTATTATAAGAATTCAAGATAGCTTCATGAAGTTTATCTAATATATTTAGTTATTTTTCAATTATCAATTTGACTCCGCCTTGGTTTAAAAGTTTACATTTAATTTCATATTTGGCACATATCTAAGATTAAAGTGAATGTGAGCATGGTATAGGGCATAAGTTATTTAAAAGGAAGCCATTTGTCATTGCAGTGAAATTAGGTCGTGGGATTTGTGGCAGCTGTCAGTTCAATGAAGTAATCCCACTTATTTTATCTTTGAATCATTTCATTTTTCTATGTTCACACCTCCATTATTCATGCTTATTCCCAGGTACTAGCTGCTATTTTGTTCTACAATAAGGGGCATAGTTTTCAACTTTCTCTACTTATAGAAGGCACACTTTCAGGCGGGGCGCGGTGGCTCACTCCTCTAATCCCAGCACTTTGGGAGGCTGAGACAGGCAGGTCACCTGAGGTCAGGAGTTCCAGACGAGCCTGGCCAGCATAATGAAGCCCTGTCTCTACTGAAAGTACAAAAATTAGCCAGATGTGGTGGTGGACGCCTGTAATACCAGCTACTCAGAAGGCCGAGACCAGAGAATTGCTTGAACCTGGAAGGCGGAGGTTGCAGTGAGCTGATTCCGTCTTAAAAAACAAACAAAAAACAAACCAGAAAGCACAGTTTTTTGTAAGTCAGTTTATGAACGAAAATGATCAATGCTTATCATTGTAGTGAAATCAATACTCTGATTTCTTTGCACAAAGTGAATTAGGACCAATTCTTTGTATCCTGATAATTAAAAACTCACTTTTTAAAATGCAGCAGAAACATTAACGCATTTTATCATCTTTAAGCAGCTCTCAGCCATAATATTTTAAATTGAATGAACATCTCATAGGGCAATAAGACAGTTAAATTTGTTAGTATTTCTTATATTTTAATGAAATATTAACAATGACAACCCTCCACATTTCTTTTAACATTTATTAGGTCACTTAGGCCATATAGTATGTGAAGAAATAATTATCATCAAAACACTGTCTCTTACTCAATATGAAAAACATTCTGATTCAAATGTAATCAAACAATTATTGAGGACAATGCTAAGGGAATGAGATGTATCTCTTTATTTGTGAAGACACTAAAAATAGCCTCTTTGCTGTGGCTGGGAATGCTTTATCCAAGGAATGTCCAAGAAACTCAAGAGAAGAATCAAGAAAACATGTGGTTTTAGTAGCTTAATGAAAGAGCAGAACGTTTACTTGAGGAACTATAATTATAAAGACCCACAATTATCCTGCTAAATCAGGATGGGGAATTCTCAGCACCTCACAGTAATTATTTAGAGGTCTGAAAGAACCAAGAACACCTGAAGATTCCGAGAAGGCACATGACCTGAGGCAATGTGAGCTTCTTGAGGGAGTGTGAGCTGTGCAGTTGCACAGGGCCAAGGACTCAGAAGAGCCCTATACATGGTTTAATGTTCTGCTTTTGCTTTTTTGAATGCTTACTAATTTTTGAACAAGGGGCTCCACATTTTTATTTTGTTCTGGGCCCTGCAAATATGTAGTCAGTCCTGACTCAAGGACATGTGAGAGAGTAGTACTTGGATGAGGTACTTGGATAGTGAGAAAGACTCAAGCTAGCAGTTTCATCAGCTGGGTACGCTGAACAAACCAGAGTAAAGAGCAGTACAGACTGGGCACTTTTAGGAGGGTAATACTGATTTGGAGAATAGTAAATATTTTTGGAGGACTTGTAAGGAGAAAAGGGGGAAGAATGACGAAGGATGTTCCCTTTTGGTACCTTGTGTCCTACATTATTTTAAATATACTTTCCAACTGGCTTTCAATATCAGCGTTTTCCAAACATTTGTAATTGCCTACTCCTATCAAGTGTAAACATGCATTCCTCCAATACAGATTTCCTGTTTGTTAACTTAAAATTTACATAGTGTATTACTATAAAATAGTTATTAACATTGTCCAATAGAAATATAGTGTGACCCACAAATAAGAACCATATATATAATTTAAAATACATATGTAGTAGCTAAATTTAAAAAAAGGAACAAGTGGAATTAACTTTAATAACTTTAATAATGCTCTTTAATCAAGCCAATATACAAAATATCATTTCAACAGGACATAAATGTAAAAATCATAATGAAATATTTCACTTTAAATATATTGTCTTTAAAATTTCTTGTACATTTTAAACTCCTGGTATCTCAATTCAGACTTGCCATGTTTTAAGTATTTAATAGTCTTGTATGGCTAATGGCTACTGTATTCAATACTACAGTTTTATATATTTTAAAATATATAAAACATAATTTAGAGATGTATGAGAAAAAAATAAAAGTTCTAAATTTTAATATTTTCTGCCTGTATCCCAGTGGATGGTCTTTCAGATCCCCTGGGTGTGGAAATCTCACATTAAAAACTAGTGGTCCAGAATAATGACGATTTTTCAAGTTTTTAGGTATGACAATTCTGAAAGATGAAGTGATATTTTTACACCGTGATTAGCACTGACCTAAGTATCAACACACACACACACATGCACACACACACACACACTTTCTTCAAGAGAAGAGAACCTCAGCCCTACTCCTCCATAGAGCTTATCAACTTTCACATTGAAGAAAAGTACGTGGCATGGGAAATATTCTGGCAGCTATCTTTGGAAAATACAGACTGCCACAGTTACTTACCACTGTGTAAAGCTGAAGCTCTAGGAAACTACACTATACTGACCCCTCTAGCATAGTGCTCCATTACTTCTATGCACATCACATTTCTGTTTGGAAAGCTCAGAAATCGATGTGAGAAAGCTTAAATATTAGTTAGGATCCATCAGGTCATGGAAGACATTTTGTGCCATGCCATGAAGCTTGAGCTTTATCTCATTCGGTGATTTTTTTCTGCCAGGGGATAGCATAGTCAGAGTTGTGTTTTTAAATAGGTTCCTTTGACTACAGCAGGAGGATGGATTTAAGAGGCCAACACAGGGCCTAGGGCAAGTAGATAACAAACTAGTGTACTGTAACAATGATCTTAGCTTGTTCACCAAATCTCATCAGATAAACATGCTTGCTTATTAAGATGTTCTACTTGGAGCACTTGTCAAGTGAAGTTCCAAAAATAGTAAGTTTGGAAAGAAGCAATTGACAAAGACTGTAAGGGCCCAGTACAGTGGCCCATGTCTGTAATCTCAGCACTTTGGGAGGCCGAGGTGGTGGATTGCTTGAGGAGTTTGGGACCTGCCTAGGCAACATGGTGAAACCCCATCTCTACAAAAAAAATCCCAAAGTTCAGCAGTTGGTGGTGCATGCCTGTGGTCCCAGCTACTTGGG